GCAGGAGGCCACGCTTGTGCCTGTTCTGATCCACGTCCATGGAGGATCCAACGAGGTGGGCATGGGCGCCATGCTGCACGCTGACGTGCTGGCCAGCCGGGGCCAGTTTGTGGTGGTCACCTTCAACTACAGACTGGGAGCCTTTGGTATGGTAGCTTGTGTATATTCTGTGCGGACACGGATCACATCACATCTGCTCACAGCCTCGCTTCTGTAATTTACCTTTCCACAGTTTTATTCATCATCACCTTGATCGCAGTCTCCACGATCACAACCAGCATCATCATTATTATCATCGCCACCACCACCACCATCATCATTAACATCATCAGCTTCGCCGCTGTCACCACCACCACCACCATCATCATTATCATCGCATTGTAGTTGGTCTTGTGCTGTCACGTATATCCTCTATCCCATCTGGAATTTGCCTTATATGCCGTGACCTTCCTCTTATCTACTTTCTAAAACTCCTGTCCGTGATTATCTTCTTAGATCTGGCCTTTCATGGCCACAAGACTGTCTTTCTCGGAGATGTAGAAATGTCTGGCCACAAGACTGTCTTCCTCGATTATAGATGTGTGACCAGCTAATGTCATTTTATAGACGAATGATGAGAACACTCTGATCTGATCGCCCACATCAGGAAGAGATCTGATCGCACACATCAGAAAGAGATCTGATCGCCCACATCAGGAAGAGATCTGATCGCACACATCAGGAAGAGATCTGATCGCACACACCAGGAAGAGATCTGATCGCCCACATCAGGAAGAGATCTCATCGCACACATCAGGAAGAGATCTGATCGCACACATCAGGAAGAGATCTGATCGCCCACATCAGGAAGAGATCTCATCGCACACATCAGGAAAAGATCTGATCGCCCACATCAGAAAGAGATATGATCGCCCACATCAGAAAGAGGTATGATCGCTCACATCAGGAAGAGACAAACTGCATTCTTCAGTCATGCCAGAAGAAGAAGAAAACTGGAGTACATCGTGACGGGGGGAAAGTTGAAGTTAAAGAGAGGCAGAGAGAGACCGAGAGAGAAGATGCTGGACAGTCTGACGTCAAGGCATGGAGGATCATCTATAAGAGCAGTGATTAAAAGTAAACGAGACACAAGGTTGTATGTAAACAAGACTACAACGGTCAACTGTATGAACTATATTGACTAGACAATCGTTTTTTGAGCATTATGTTATAATTCGATAGATCTGACCGGACTGTCTGTTGTCTTTATTGGTTCAATGATGTGTCATTGCCGGATACTGCATAGTCAAACATCCAGAATTCGTGTGTATCAACTGACAAGTGGTAGGTTTATTGTTGTGCTGATGATTGGACATTGCTTGCTGGACATGGTCTTCTGCTTGGAGATGTGCCCTGGAGATTGTCTTGTTTTGTTCACACCACTACCAGCTGTTGGTGTGTCTTGTGTTGTTTACACCACTACCAGCTGTTGGTGTGTCTTGTGTTGTTTACACCACTACCAGCTGTTGGTGTGTCTTGTGTTGTTTACACCACTACCAGCTGTTGGTGTGTCTTGTGTTGTTCACACCACTACCAGCTGTTGGTGTGTCTCTGTATTCTTCTTCTCCTCTTTGCTTTCACGTTCTTCTTCTTCCTCCTACTCTTCCTTCTTGTTTCCTTCTTTTTTCCTATTTTTTCCTATTTACTCTACACCTTCTTCTCTTCCCCTTCCCATCCTTATTATTTTCCTTGCTCTTCTTATTTTCACCATCGTCATCATATTATCTTTCTCCTCTTTTTTCTTTTTCTCTCCCCCTCTTTCTCTCCTTCCTTTTCCTCTTGCGTCTTCTTCTCCTCTACTCCTCGCCATTCTTTTTCCTCCCATAGTCCATGCTAGGTAGTGTCGGTTGTCAATTTCTATCCACAGCCCTCTGTCTCGTGTACAAACATGTCCTATCAGTCAGACATACTTCGGGTAGTCTCCGCGGCAAGTGGTCAAGCCTCATTCAGTTCACCAATGACATTTTTACAGAGATTTCTTGGGATCATCGACAGAGCTATGGAGTCGTTCTCTGTGCAAGGACCTCGGCAGGTGGCTAGCCGTTCTGTGGAGAGAAACAAAGCCACATGTGATAAAACTCGGTGCAATGGAGTCAGTCCTCTCACGTCTAACCTTTTTTAACCTGTAGATTGTAATTGGCGTAGCAATAGTGTCTCTAGAAGCAACATGTGCCTAGCACAGTTACAGAGATGACGATGTGAGAACAGCAGCCCATTACTCAAATATTTCATCTAACACTCGCCAGGAAGGAAGTGAGGTGGGGGTAGGACGAGAGGTGCTCTGCTTGATTACTTTTTACATTTATTGTTACTTCTATGTTCAGTTAGTTATTCACAAACTCAATGTTGAAGATTTGTGGCTTATTATATCCAAGGGTTTTTCCATTCCCCGACTCTGGATATTCCCGCTAACCTGGGCCTGCACGATCAGCTGCTAGTCTTTAAGTGGGTGCAACAGAACATTGGTCAGTTCGGCGGCGACCCCAACAAGGTCACCATCCAAGGTCACAGTGCCGGCAGTGTGGATGTGGGTATTCATCTGCTGTCGCCGGCCTCATCAGGTCAGTCAATCAATGGTGCCCCTTCTCTTTCTTGTTCTGCTTTATGGTAATTTTGTTTTTCTCTGTCGACTTTTTGCTATTTTCCTTTTTTAGGGCAATTTTCTCTTCTTTAGCCTAACTTTTTCTCCTGTTTGGTAACATTTTTCCTGTTTGATGGCATTAGTGTGTGTGTGTTTGTGTGCGTACGTGGCAGACATCAGTTGGACACTTTAGCTTTTAAAGGATAAGAAGCTCTGTTCCTCCAGGGACTATGACCAGTCTACCGAGGCCCAACTCCCACGACGTTCTGTTGCGTCCAGAAGCAGCTTGAAGCTCTTTCAGCAGCTTCGCCCAGTTGTTTTAGTGACCATTTACACTCGTTTCCTCGTAAGCCAAGCTGCTTTAGCACATTGTATGTGGAAGTGGAGATAAGACCTCTGACGCTTACCTCGATGGCGAAGATTTTTACTGAGCACGCCTCGTATCACCTTAGACCTGCCGCGAGCTCACAGTACTTCTTGAGCTTGCTCGTGTGAGTTTCAGTCAGTTTTATTTTGATTGTTTCAGAACTGTGTGACAAAGTTTTATTGTGATTGTTTCAGAACTGTGTGACATAATTTTATTGTGATTGTTTCAGAACTGTGTGACAGAATTTTATTGTGATTGTTTCAGAACTGTGTGACAGGCAGCCAGCTTCATAATTATCTGATCAGCTGAATTACGTGGCTGCTGTTTCTTGTCTCTACTGTCAGAGCTGGAAAGAAATATAAATACGTAAAATAGCCTATATCTGATACTGTATCTTGGTGATCGATCGCTGAGAAAAGGTAGATTTGCTGTAGGACGCTGCCTAATTTCTTGTCTGTAGACAGGACAGTTCCAATATTAGTTTTGGAACTTCTGACCTAAGGACTCTAGTGTGGGGGTCAATCGTTGACATAACCGCAAGGCAAACATTAAAGCAATCAGGTTGACACGACCATATGAGTTGGCTGGAAAACCCAAGCAGCTCAAACTATATCTCATATTGTCATCATCATGTGCCACGCCAGTGAGCTCTAGCGGTCATGCTTCACCTAACACGATTACAGAAATCTTGTCCTAGGTTTATTTAGTGATCGTGGTGATGGTTGTTGTTGTTGTTGTTGTTGTTGTTGTTGTTGTTGTTGCTGTTTTTGTAGATAACTATATAATTACGATGAGGAGAAAGAATAAGCAGATAACGATCATGACAAAGAATAATCATTCAGTATTAATGATGGTAATGATGAAAATGCAAACTTGCACAATTGTCCCCAGGCTTGTTTCGATACGCCATTCTACAGAGTGGAGCTCCGACCGCCCACTGGGCGGTGATGCCTGACTCTGACCTCGGTGACCTCACCAAAGGTCCTCTTCATCATATCAGCGACCTCGGCTGCGCTCTGGAGGACAAGAAACAGACCTTGACCTGCTTGAAGGACATCAACGCTACTAGACTGTCGACCAACAATTACAATGTTAGTGTCTTTATGCTTGTCAGACATCTTTTACAATGTCATTGTTCATGTGATTGTCAAACAAGTATTACAATGTTAGTGTTTTTATGTTTGTCAGACAACTTTTACAATGTCATTGTTCATGTGATTGTCAAACAAGTATTACAATGTTAGTGTCTTTATGTTTGTCAGACAACTTTTACAATGTCATTGTTCATGTGATTGTCAAACAAGTGTTACAATGTTAGTGTCTTTATGTTTGTCAGACAACTTTTACAATGTCATTGTTCATGTGATTGTCAAACAAGTATTACAATGTTAGTGTTTTTATGTTTGTCAGACAACTTTTACAATGTCATTGTTCATGTGATTGTCAAACAAGTATTACAATGTTAGTGTCTTTATGTTTGTCAGACAACTTTTACAATGTCATTGTTCATGTGATTGTCAAACAAGTATTACAATGTTAGTGTCTTTATGTTTGTCAGACAACTTTTACAATGTCAATGCCCTTGTGATTGTCAAACAAGTATTACAATGTTAGTGTTTTTATGTTTGTCAGACAACTTTTACAATGTCATTGTTCATGTGATTGTCAAACAAGTATTACAATGTTAGTGTCTTTATGTTTGTCAGACAACTTTTACAATGTCAATGCCCTTGTGATTGTCAAACAAGTATTACAATGTTAGTGTTTTTATGTTTGTCAGACAACTTTTACAATGTCATTGTTCATGTGATTGTCAAACAAGTATTACAATGTTAGTGTCTTTATGATTGTCAGACAACTTTTACAATGTCATTGTTCATGTGATTGTCAAACAAGTATTACAATGTTAGTGTTTTTATGTTTGTCAGACAACTTTTACAATGTCATTGTTCATGTGATTGTCAAACAAGTATTACAATGTTAGTGTCTTTATGTTTGTCAGACAACTTTTACAATGTCATTGTTCATGTGATTGTCAAACAAGTATTACAATGTTAGTGTCTTTATGTTTGTCAGACAACTTTTACAATGTCATTGTTCATGTGATTGTCAAACAAGTATTACAATGTTAGTGTCTTTATGTTTGTCAGACAACTTTTACAATGTCATTGTTCATGTGATTGTCAAACAAGTATTACAATGTTAGTGTCTTTATGTTTGTCAGACAACTTTTACAATGTCATTGTTCATGTGATTGTCAAACAAGTATTACAATGTTAGTGTCTTTATGTTTGTCAGACAACTTTTACAATGTCATTGTTCATGTGATTGTCAAACAAGTATTACAATGTTAGTGTTTTTATGTTTGTCAGACAACTTTTACAATGTCATTGTTCATGTGATTGTCAAACAAGTATTACAATGTTAGTGTCTTTATGTTTGTCAGACAACTTTTACAATGTCAATGCCCTTGTGATTGTCAAACAAGTATTACAATGTTAGTGTCTTTATGTTTGTCAGACAACTTTTACGGCACTTTTTACTCGCTCCCAAAGGGCCCTTACAACAGTTCAGTCTGAACCATTACAAGTGATAGTCTGCGCCGAGAATGACCCGGTACTTGAAATCTCTACAGACGCAGCATACAAGGTGACGCTCGACAATCAATAATGACTAAGAGTATATCGGCTGACCCAGCTCTCATCTGTTATGTGTCTGCGCTCTGACCAGAGCGCTCCTCACAAAGAATCCGTAACACAGACGATTTTTAACATAAAAAAAAAAAAAATAGGGATCGACCGCGCACTTTCGGGTGTCATTCAGGCTGCCCTACTGCTGCCACCCTTGTGATTGCCTAACATGTAGTACAACTGACATGAAATCACTGAGAATAATGTCAGTGTACAACATGTATGTTGAATGTTGCGTGTTGGATGTTGTATGTTGGATGTTGCGTGTTGGATGTTGTATGTTGCGTGTTCGATGTTGGATGTTGTATGTTGCGTGTTGGATGTTGGATGTTGTATGTTGTATGTTGGATGTTGGATGTTGTATGTTGCATGTTGGATGTTGGATGTTGGATGTTGGATGTTGCATGTTGGATGCTGGATGTTGTATGTTGCGTGTTGTATGTTGGATGTTGGATGTTGGATGTTGTATGTTGGATGTTGCATGTTGGATGCTGGATGTTGTATGTTGCGTGTTGGATGTTGTATGTTGTATGTTGTATGTTGGATGTTGGGTGTTGTATGTTGTATGTTGGATGTTGGGTGTTGTATGTTGATCTTGTATGTTGCGTGTTGTATGTTGTGTGTTGTGTGATGTTTGTTGGATGTTGTATGTTGGATGTAGTATGTTGGGTGTTGGATGTTGAGAGTTGTATGTTATATGTTGTATGTTGGGTGTTGAGAGTTGGATGTTGGATGTTGTATGTTGGATGTTGGATGTTTCAGCATGGCGATGAAATCTTCTATTTCACGGCAAGTGTGGATGGATTCTTCCTTCTCGACCACCCGATCAAACTGCTGGATCGACGGACCCACAGACAGACAGGGACCCTGAACGGAGAGGCCCTGTTGATGGGTGTGGTGAAAGACGAAGGATCGTTGACAGGTGTGAGTCTTCTTCTTTTTCTTCTTCTTCTTCTTCTTCTTCTTCTTCTCCTCCCTCCCTCCCTCTCTTCCTTCCTTCCTTCCTTCCTTCCTTTCTTTCTTCCTCCTTCCTTTCATCCTTATCTTCCTATCCTTCCTTTCTTCTTCTTCTTCTTATTCTTTTGCTCCTTTGTCTTCGTTTTCGTCTTCGTCCTCGTGTTCTGTAGCTTCTGTCTTCCTCTTCTTCTTGTTATTTTTACTTTTATTATTTTACATGTTATTTTTCTTGTCCTCCTCTTTCTTTCTTCTTTCAAATAATTTTTTGAATTTTTTTTTTTAAGGCAACACGTGAGTTTTTCCTTATGTCTGTTTACAATATATGTTACCCCCCCCCCCCCTTTTCCCTCCCCCGAATGACATGCTAAACACCAGCCCAACTTATGAGGATCAGATTAGCTTTGGGCTATAACTCAGGTAACCTGCCCATTTGTGTGAACATAACTCAGGTAACCTGCCCATTTGTGTGAACATAACTCAGGTAACCTGCCCATTTGTGTGAACATAACTCAGGTAACCTGCCCATTTGTGTGAACATAACTCAGGTAACCTGCCCATTTGTGTGAACATAACTCAGGTAACCTGCCCATTTGTGTGAACATAACTCAGGTAACCTGCCCATTTGTGTGAACATAACTCAGGTAACCTGCCCATTTGTGTGAACATAACTCAGGTAACCTGCCCATTTGTGTGAACATAACTCAGGTAACCTGCCCATTTGTGTGAACATAACTCAGGTAACCTGCCCATTTGTGTAAACATAACTCAGGTAACCTGCCCATTTGTGTGAACATAACTCAGGTAACCTGCCCATTTGTGTGAACATAACTCAGGTAACCTGCCCATTTGTATGAACATAACTCAGGTAACCTGCCCATTTGTGTGAACATAACTCAGGTAACCTGCCCATTTGTGTGAACATAACTCAGGTAACCTGCCCATTTGTGTGAACATAACTCAGGTAACCTGCCCATTTGTGTGAACATAACTCAGGTAACCTGACCATTTGTGTGAACATAACTCAGGTAACCTGCCCATTTGTGTGAACATAACTCAGGTAACCTGCCCATTTGTGTGAACATAACTCAGGTAACCTGACCATTTGTGTGAACATAACTCAGGTAACCGGCCCATTTGTGTGAAGACCTTCAGGTGCATACTCAGACCCAGTCATACACCAGCAGGTGTGTGGTTTAGCTGTCATTGGGTGACTGGTACAACACTCGGGCGTTCCGTGGCATCCACACATGCTTCCACCAATGAGTATATGGCTGTGACCAGAGCAGCAGTGATGCTATTGGTTACTTGTGATGATCGTAGTGATGGCGGTGGTGCTGGTGGGTGGTGCTGGTGGGTGGTAGTTGTGGTGGTGCTGGTGGGTGGTTGTGGTGGTGGTGGTGGCGGTGATTATGATCATGGATGTGGTTGCAGTGGTGGCGGGGGTAGTGGCGATTATGATCGCGTTTGTTAGGGTTTAAACAACGGATCAACATCATGGTACAAGATTTTAACCCATCAGTGCTCTGTTCTACTTCAAACTAAAACCTGAGTTTGAAGAAACTCAGCACAGTGCACGAACTCTGTAGCACCGGCGAGGTTCCTGAAATAATTTGGGTAGACATTTTAACTTCATATTTTGTCCAGGCACCGTCATTAGGCTACTATTTTCGATTTCCAACTGCCAAGGAATATTCTACGTGCGCAACAATACACAAGGGCGTCTGATCTTACTACCGAGCAACCAGGGGAAATTACTAGAAGTTCACGTGTCTAAAATCCTAGCCTTCACAGGGACTTGAACCCGGGCCCTCCGGCACTCGGGTTAGACGCCACGCGCCGAGACCACTCAGCCCCAGTTTGTGGTTTTGGATACGCCGACGATGATGACGGTAGAGTCAGGGGGATGGATCATTGAGGAAGTGACGGCAGCTAACACTGCGGGCTGCTGTTCCCTTGCTCTATGACATTCTTGTATGCTGGGAGCTCTAGACAGAGATTGTCCAGTGACGGTCACTCTTTCTCTGCAGCTAACATGTTCCGACTGTTGAGCTTGGGACAGGACACGCAGGACATGACGTTCGGACCCTCCGCTGCTCAGATGCCTGACCAGTTCAGCGACAATTACTTCTTTGCTCTCCCAGAGAGCATCTTGGCTCAGTACAAGAAAATGGACAATTTTGAAAGTAAGCAGCACCGTCAAGTTTCTGACCTCTGTAGGCTTTAAATCTCTCTCTTATCCGACTCCTCTTCTTCTTCTGATTATTATATTATTATTATTATTATTATTATTATTATTATTATTATTTTATAATTTTATTTTTATTATATTATTGTTATTATTATTATTTTATTATTGTGTGTGTTTTTAATTATTATTATATTGTTATTGTTATTATTATTATTATTATGTTTATATTATTAGTATTATTATATTATTATTTATTGTTATTATTGTTATTATTATTTTATGACACAATGGTTTCCTTTTGTGAATGTAAATAATGTGGACACAAACGATACGCTGCAGAATTGACTGACAGTCGTCTGTAGCTGAATCTCATTAAATGCTACATTAACATTGCTACAGAATAACATCAGCAGATCAGCTCTCTGAAATGACCCTGGTCGTTACCTTGCTAATCTAGACAACCTTGCTAATCTAGACAACCTTGCTAATCTAGACAACCTTGCTAATCTAGACAACCTTGCTAATCTAGACAATGTGATTTGTGTGAAAGCGGTTCACGGGTCTGATTTTTTGGATGTAACTATAGAAACGGACATGATCAGAAATAGCGAATCGAGACGGATTAACAATTATGCAATACATTGTTTGTGGGCTCATTATTAGAATTGTTATTGTTATTAATATTTTATGATAAGACACAACTTGTATAACACACTCAAGGGAAAAGCTAAACGCAGGAAAGCAACAGGTAGGCAGCGATACACGTGGAGAGTTAACATCAGTTAGCCTTGGTCGTGAAGACGGCCCTTGACTGACTGAAGTCTAGGCCGCTTTGCATACTCCTTGCTCAGACGAACACATGACGTATCACTTTATAGAATTTATATTCCAATCTGTCGTTATTCTAGAACTTATTGACACGTGGATATATGTCTTGTCTTGTTTCAGAGTTGGTCCACTTTGTGTACAAGCCGTGGTCGGATCCTTACAATGTGACTGCCAACTTCATTCGTCTGTCGGACGTTAGTTCTTGTGGCTATTGGTGGCGTTACATTGTTGTGGTGTAATGGTTGCGGTGTAATGGTTGTGGTGTGATGGCTGTGGTGAAATGGTTGTGGTGTGATGGTTGTGGTGTAATGGTTGTGGTGTAATGGTTGTGGTGTAATGGTTGAGGTGTAATGGTTGTGGTGTAATGGTTGCGGTGTAATGGTTGTGGTGTGATGGCTGTGGTGTAATGGTTGTGGTGTAATGGTTGTGGTGTAATGGTTGTGGTGTGATGGTTGTGGTGTAATGGTTGAGGTGTGATGGTTGTGGCCTGATGGTTGTGGTGTTTTCATTGTAGTTTGCTGTTGTAATTATTTGTAGTTGATTTTAACTGTTCTTGTTTTTCCTATAATTAATTTACGTTGTCTCTGGACCATCGGGGAAGAAACTGGGCAACAACCTCGTCAAGAAAACTTCTATAGCAGTGGTCTTCAACCTTTTCCTACCCCCAACCACTAATGATTGAAGACCACTGCTCTTCATGATGATGGTACCAACTGGTGCTTCCCCATATAATGTTCTACAGAAGGGTGATATAAACTTGGTCTTCACCATGGAATGTTACTGAGGCCTCACCATGGAATGTTACTGAGGCCTCACCATGGAACGTTACTGAGGCCTGACCATGGAATATTACTAAGGCCTCACCATGGAATGTTACTGAGGCCTCACCATGGAATGTTACTGAGGCCTCACCATGGAACGTTACTGAGGCCTGACCATGGAACGTTACTGAGGCCTCACCATGGAACGTTACTGAGGCCTGACCATGGAACGTTACTGAGGCCTGACCATGGAACGTTACTGAGGCCTTACCATGGAATGTTACTGAGGCCTGACCATGGAACGTTACTGAGGCCTGACCATGGAATGTTACTAAGGCCTCACCATGGAACGTTACTGAGGCCTGACCATGGAATGTTACTAAGGCCTCACCATGAAACGTTACTGAGGCCTCACCATGGAATGTTACTGAGGCCTCACCATGGAACGTTACTGAGGCCTGACCATGGAACGTTACTGAGGCCTTACCATGGAACGTTACTGAGGCCTGACCATGGAATGTTACTGAGGCCTGACCATGGAACGTTACTGAGGCCTGACCATGGAACGTTACTGAGGCCTGACCATGGAACGTTACTGAGGCCTGACCATGGAATGTTACTAAGGCCTCACCATGGAACGTTACTGAGGCCTCACCATGGAACGTTACTGAGGCCTCACCATGGAATGTTACTGAGGCCTGACCATGGAATGTTACTGAGGCCTCACCATGGAACGTTACTGAGGCCTCACCATGGAATGTTACTAAGGCCTCACCATGGAAGGTTACTGAGGCCTGACCATGGAATGTTACTGAGGCCTGACCATGGAACGTTACTGAGGCCTGACCATGGAATGTTACTAAGGCCTCACCATGGAATGTTACTGAGGCCTGACCATGGAATGTTACTGAGGCCTCACCATGGAACGTTACTGAGGCCTGACCATGGAATGTTACTGAGGCCTGACCATGGAATGTTACTAAGGCCTGACCATGGAATGTTACTAAGGCCTCACCATGGAACGTTACTGAGGCCTCACCATGGAACGTTACTGAGGCCCGACCATGGAATGTTACTGAGGCCTGACCATGGAATGTTACTAAGGCCTCACCATGGAATGTTACTAAGGCCTGACCATGGAATGTTACTGAGGCCTGACCATGGAATTTTACTGAGGCCTCACCATGGAATGTTACTGAGGCCTCACCATGGAATGTTACTGAGGCCTGACCATGGAATGTTACTGAGACCTCACCATGGAATGTTACTGCGGCCTCACCATGGAATGTTACTCAGGCCTCACCATGGAACGTTACTGAGGCCTCACCATGGAATGTTACTGAGGCCTCACCATGGAATGTTACTGAGGCCTCACCATAGAATGTTACTGAGGCCTCACCATGGAATGTTACTGAGGCCTGACCATGGAATGTAACTGAAGCCTCATCATGGAATGTTACTGAGGCCTCACCATGGAATGTTACTGAGGCCTCACCATGGAATGTTACTGAGGCCTCACCATAGAATGTTACTGAGGCCTCACCATGAAATGTTACTGAGGCCTCACCATAGAATGTTACTGAGGCCTGACCATGGAATGTTACTGAGGCCTCACCATAGAATGTTACTGAGGCCTCACCATGGAATGTTACTGAGGCCTCACCATAGAATGTTACTGAGGCCTGACCATGGAATGGTACTGAAGCCTCACCATAGAATGTTACTGAGGCCTCACCATAGAATGTTACTGATGCCTGACCATGGAATGTTACTGAGGCCTCACCATAGAATGTTACTGAGGCCTCACCATGAAATGTTACTGAGGCCTCACCATAGAATGTTACTGAGGCCTCACCATAGAATGTTACTGAGGCCTCACCATAGAATGTTACTGAGGCCTCACCATAGAATGTTACTGAGGCCTCACCATGGAATGTTACCGAGGCCTGACCATGGAATATTACTGAGGCTTCACTATGGAATGTTACTGAGGCTTCACCATGGAATATTACTGAGGCCTCACCATGGAATGTTACTGAGGCCTCACCATGGAATGTTACTGAGGCCTCACCATGGAATGTTACTGAGGCCTGACCATGGAATGTTACTGAGGCCTGACCATGGAATGTTAGTGAGGCCTGACCATGGAATGTTCTACACAGAGATGACATAAACTGAGGCTTCACCATGGAATATTACTGAGGCCTCACCATGGAATATTACTGAGGCCTCACCATGGAATATTACTGAGGCCTCACGATGGAAAGTTCTACACTGAGATGACATAAACTGTGGCTTCACCATTGAATGTTCTACAACGAGAGGATATAAATTGGGGCTTTATCATGGAATGTTATACACAGACATGACATAAACTGTGGCTTCACCATGGAATGTTCTACAACGAGATGATATAAACTGCGGCTTCACCATTGAATGTTCTACAACGTGAGGATATAAACTGCGGCTTCACCATGGAATGTTCTACAATGAGAGGATATAAACTGCGGCTTCACCATGGAATGCTCTAAAATGACAGGATATAAGCCGCGACTTCACCATGGAATGCTCTAGAAAACGATTTTAAAATTATAACGTCATACTTGCTCACACGATTAAATATATGAAGCTGAACAGAGAACTGTATGTTTGTCGATGGTTCCACAGCTGATCGGTGACATCACGTTCACAGCTCCGACAATCCAGACAGCCGACTACCTGAGTAGGAGCAACAGAACCCAGCTTTATGTCTACAGCTTCGAGCATAGATCTGATAGCTCTATTTATCCTCAGTGGATGGGTAAGCGTATGTCTTCAAACGGTCTTCCTACTGTCTTTATCCTCATCATTATCATCATCATCCTGCTGGTATGTGTATATGTTGTATTGTTACACTGTCTTTCTGTCACCATCATCATCATCATCATTGCAGTGCACTTCCCTAGGTTGGGATAGCTAGCTCACATGATTCTCCAACCTCAGATGTTTTATTAGAAAACAGTGACCATGACATATCAGCCCCACAGTGGGCGGGCAGGAACTGACCACTCGTCTAAGAAAGTTTATTGGCTGTTCCAAGATGTGTCCAGTCTGTTGTCCACTACCGCTAACACTTGTCCAGGGCTGATTCCCAGGGCTCAGACTGGACATCACAATTCAGTACCAACAGCTCTACTTACAGCAGAGAATGACCTGTCTGCAGATTATTCCTGTTAGACTCGCCAATGGTCTACATCAACGTTTACGCTTGTTCACTTAGTTCACCTGCTATTACTGACTTGACAGGCTTCTTGTCATCAGTAAAAGTTGCCAAATTGTCGCCCCCGAGGTAGGCTTCTTGAACATGTGTTGGCTGCTCGTTGTACGGTCTTGGTAAGTCGAGACACACACACAAGACGTTCTTTCCCTGGACTCACTCTAGAAATGGCTAACCTATCATCCACATGTAGTTTTCCACTGGTGAGGACCTCATCCCTCAACTGGTCAACTTCCACGGTAGACGGTTTATTAGCTTCGTTCTTGCTGTTTTCGTACAGTAGTACGAGAGTTGTACCGTGGAAAAGATTGTGGTCTCATCAAACAATATTCCCAATAACAGCAAGCGATTCCCTGTAGCCAGCTTTTATTGTGTAGACGGTTCATCGTTTGTTGACATTTCTCCTGCCAGGTGTGCCTCACGGAGATGACTTGTTTCATGTGTTCGGGACCCCTCTAGAAGGTTCCAGGGGGAGAAACTTCACAGCCCGGGACCGATTGGTCAGTCAGGCTGTCATGGACTTGTGGATCCATTTTGTGAAACACGGGTAAGTTGAGAACATGCACGGGTAGGTTGAGGACATCCAGGGGTAGGTTAAGGATATCCACGGATAGGTTGAGGATATCCACTGGTAGGTTGAGGACATCTACGGGTAGGTTAAGGACATCCACGGGTAAGTTAATGACATTTAGGGGTAAGTTAAAGAAACATACGACAGTATGTTTAGTCGGTAGGCTAACATTTCAGAGACATTCAGGGAATTACTACTATAACCACCACAACTTCAACAGCAAATACGTAAATCTACAATATCCCCTGTTACCAAAACTACTGATAAACAATTATAATTACTACTATTCATACGTGTGCAATAACCACCACTGCTACTACAACTATATATTATAATAGTAATTACCACCACTGCTACTACAACTATATATTATAATAGTAATTACTACCACTGCTACTACCACTATATATTATAATAGTAATTAACACCACTGCTACTACCGCTATATAATAGTAATTAACACCACTGCTACTACCACTATATATTATAATAGTAATTACTACAATACACCACTGCTACTACCACTATATATTATAATAGTAATTACTACAATACACCACTGCTACTACCACTATATATTATAATAGTAATTACTACAATACACCACTGCTACTACCACTATATATTATAATAGTAATTACTACAATACACCACTGCTACTACCACTATATATTATAATAGTAATTACTACAATACACCACTGCTACTACCACTATATATTATAATAGTAATTACTACAATACACCACTGCTACTACCACTATATATTATAATAGTAATTACTACAATACACCACTGCTACTACCACTATATATTATAATAGTAATTACTACAATACACCACTGCTACTACCACTATATATTATAATAGTAATTACTACAATACACCACTGCTACTACCACTATATATTATAATAGTAATTACTACAATACACCACTGCTACTACCACTATATATTATAATAGTAATTACTACAATACACCACTGCTACTACCACTATATATTATAATAGTAATTACTACAATACACCACTGCTACTACCACTATATATTATAATAGTAATTACTACAATACACCACTGCTACTACCACTATATATTATAATAGTAATTACTACAATACACCACTGCTACTACCACTATATATTATAATAGTAATTACTACAATACACCACTGCTACTACCACTATATATTATAATAGTAATTACTACAATACACCACTGTAAAGGTCAGCGTCTGTGGCTTAGGCGTTGGGAACGCGCTTCGTAATGTCGGAGTGCTGGGTTCAATTCCAGCTAGCTGCGGGCAGTTTGTCTTGCGTTGGTGTCGAAATTGGCTTCGAGAGCCGACCGTGCAGTGAGCAATGGCAAACTACTGGACGTAAATTTGCCCAAAAAACTGCTAGAACTGAAAAATGCTCGAGTTAGCTCTGCAATGTCCTGTAAAGGTTACGCCACTAGCTTTAACTAATCGCTGTAATGTTTACTACACTAACCGCTGTAATGTTTACTACACTAACCGCTGTAATGTTTACTACACTAACCGCTGTAATGTTTACTACACTAACCGCTGTAATGTTTACTACACTAACCGCTGTAATGTTTACTACACTAACCACTGTAATGTTTACTACACTAACCACTGTAATGTTTACTACACTAACCACTGTAATGTTTACTACACTAACCACTGTAATGTTTACTACACTAACCGCTGTAATGTTTACTACACTAACCGCTGTAATGTTTACTACACTAACCACTGTAATGTTTACTACACTAACCACTGTAATGTTTACTACACTAACCACTGTAATGTTTACTACACTAACCACTGTAATGTTAACTACACTAACCACTGTAATGTTAACTACACTAACCGCTGTAATGTTTACTACACTAACCGCTGTAATGTTTACTACACTAACCACTGTAATGTTTACTACACTAACCACTGTAATGTTAACTACACTAACCACTGTAATGTTAACTACACTAACCACTGTAATGTTAACTACACTAACCACTGTAATGTTAACTACACTAACCACTGTAATGTTAACTACACTAACCACTGTAATGTTTACTACACTAACCACTGTAATGTTAACTACACTAACCACTGTAATGTTAACTACACTAACCACTGTAATGTTAACTACACTAACCACTGTAATGTTTACTACACTAACCACTGTAATGTTAACTACACTAACCACTGTAATGTTTACTACACTAACCACTGTAATGTTAACTACGCTAACCACTGTAATGTTAACTACACTAACCACTGTAATGTTTACTACACTAACCACTGTAATGTTTACTACACTAACCACTGTAATGTTAACTACACTAACCACTGTAATGTTAACTACACTAACCACTGTAATGTTTACTACACTAACCACTGTAATGTTTACTACACTAACCACTGTAATGTTAACTACACTAACCACTGTAATGTTAACTACACTAACCACTGTAATGTTAACTACACTAACCGCTGTTACTACTACTATTATTGCAAGTTTAACCATTCCTAATAATACAGTTATTTATTGTAATATCACAACTATTATGAATGTTGAATGTTGAATTAAAAATCGACATCACAGCACTTATGACACTCCCATAAGCGCTCCGTCCCCATCTTCAGCAGCACGCTGAGAGTTAAATTTCGATGGCACCAGTAACAGTCTGATTGTATATCCGTCTCGCCCCTCCCCTGAGTGTCGAGCGTCGGCCAGATCCCCTTGTAACTCCTTGCAGTGCCATTCTGCTCAGACCGTAATGATCTATCTGTTCCTCGGCACTGTTCATTCGCTCCCAAACCCTTCGTATGACGCCTACGACTACTAATACAAATAATACTGTAACAACCACAACTACTTCTACATATATAGCTACTATAACTACAACTACTTCTACAACTATAGCTACTATAACTACAACTACTTCTACAACTATAGCTACTATAACTGCAGCTACTTCTACAACTATAGCTACTATAACTGCAACTACTTCTACAACTATAGCTACTATAATTGCAACTACTTCTACAACTATAGCTACTATAACTGCAACTACTTCTACAACTATAGCTACTATAACTACAACTACTTCTACAACTATAGCTACTATAATTGCAACTACTTCTACAACTATAGCTACTATAACTGCAACTACTTCTACAATTATAGCTACTATAACTGCAACTACTTCTACAACTATAGCTACTATAACTGCAACTACTTCTACAACTATAGCTACTATAATTGCAACTACTTCTACAACTATAGCTACTATAACTACAACTACTTCTACAACTATAGCTACTATAATTGCAACTACTTCTACAACTATAGCTACTATAACTACAACTACTTCTACAACTATAGCTACTATAACTGCAACTGTTACTGTTTTCCCAAATTCTCACAGTGAGGTGCTTGTTCTGAAGCTTGTAACAAATGTTTCTTTGTTGACATTGCCAAGGTGTCAGTGATACTCCCTTTCTTGTCACTTTTGTCAGGATTTACTTTGTTTGTGAGATTTATACCTGAAATCTGGTCACTTTCTGAGGTATGATGAGCGGATGGCAGGTCTACTGATTCCCCTCCCTAGCTTCATATGTTCTCTTACTTTTTTCTATTTGGTCGGAACACGCTTAAATCTGGCTTGTCCGATGGTCACTATTACTTTTATATTACTAATTTAATATTAATGCACTGATGAATTTTAATCACGTATAATTCTTGATTTTCATCTCCCATGAAACCTTCTTCTGGTATTCAAAGAGTTTATTTTGTCGTGTTTATAAATTCAATGTACGTCTGCTTCAGAACTCCATCTCGTGTCAGTTTCCAGCCGGAAACATACAGCCATCAGCAAAATTACATTCTGATCACCAGCAATGACACGGACGTGGTCCTGCGACAAGAGAGACATCTGCGAGCTTGTCACATGACTTTCTGGAACTCTTTCCTGACAAACTTGGTGTCCAGACCACGGGACACGGCTGAGCCACAGCCAGTTGTCACCTCTATATTAGCAGCTCTCCTGGGTCTCCTGTCTGTGGCCAGCATAACGGTCATCTTATGTCTGTGCTGGAAGCTGGCTTCAAACAGACGTTATATCAAACAGACCAGCCAGACTTAACACAGAGACATTATATCAGATATACAAGCAAGACATAACACAGGGACATTATATCAGATATACAAGCAATACATAACACAGGGACATTATATCAGATATACAAGCAAGACATAACACATGGAGATTATATCAGATATACAAGCAAGATATAACACAGGGAGATTATATCAGATATAAAAGCAAGACATAACCCCAGGAGATTATATCAGATATACAAGCAAGACATAACAGAGGGATATTAGATATACAAGCAAGACATAACACAGGGACATTATATCAGAAACACAAGCAAGACATAACACCGGGACATTGAATCAGATATACAAGCAAGACATAACACCGGGACATTATATCAGATATAAAAGCAAGACATAACACAGGGACATTATATCAGAAACACAAGCAAGACATAACACAGGGGCATTATATCAGATATAAAAGCAAGACATAACACAGGGACATTATATCAGATATAAAAGCAAGACATAACACCGGGACATTATATCAGATATACTAGCAAGACATAACACCGGGACATTATATCAGATATACAAGCAAGACATAACACCGGGACATTATATCAGATATACAAGCAAGACATAACACAGGGGCATTATATCAGATATACAAGCAAGACATAACACCGGGACATTATATCAGATATACAAGCAAGACATAACACCGGGACATTATATTAGACATACAATATATTTTTCTGCTGTCATAGAATGGACTGGTTAAAGTCTTCATTTGGTGAATATATCCTTTGAATATGATATTGTCAAAAGTGTTAACAAACCGTTAACCATTTTTTCCCTTTTTT